AGAGGGAGTAGACCAAATGATCTAAAGTTGCCTTCCAAATTTAATGTAATGTCCTAATCTACCAAAATAATCCTTTGCCAAGAATGATAATAATGAAAATTAAGCTACTGATACATAAGAAATAAAATGTGAGGAAAATTTTTTAAATGATAAAAACTGTATTTTTAAAGTATTCTACTTAATTGGATAAGCCAATGTTACATGTTTGCATTGATTTTTTTTTTAGTCCATCTTTCATTTTTACTGAATGCTTTCCTATTGTTTTGAGTGCAATTTTATATTTAAATTCTTCCCTATAATGTACGTTCAGTGCTTTGTTGAGTGTTTCTTTTTATAAGTTCATGAAATATTTCATAAACCTTTAGCACAAAAAATTTCCATCCTAAATAAGGTAATGTAAGTGTTCATCTAAAATAAGTTCAGAATCAAAGGAATTTGACCTGGTGAACCAGAGTAAAAGCATCAAACCTTAGGATTTTTTAAACTAGAAGGAAATTTGTGATGATCTAATCATGCTGGGTTTTTATAAATAAAGAAAGTAAGGCCTAGATAAGCGAGTGGCTTACAAGTGGTCATGTGGTAGGCAGTAGCCAAGTGAGGTCATTATTTCCCCACTATATTCTTCTGATGCCTATGAATAAAAAAATGATAGCCATATTTAAGGAATATTATTTTGTTAGCAGAAATATTACTTAGTTGCAGAGATAATAGGAAGGACTGGTAGCATTCGGCCTCCATATATGAAGACAGCAATACTTACTGAACCATGAGAAGTCTTCTACACATTACATTACTTATATGTGACCTCATAGAATCCTTACAACAACCACGTAAGATAGGTGCTGTAATCCCTGTAGAGACGAAGAAACAGAAACTCAGAAAAGCTTGTAATTTACCCAGACAGGTTATAAGAGCAGAGATATTCGTAAGCCAGGTTGTCTGACTCTATATTACTCTGCCACTATATCACATTGTTGCCTCGCAGACCAAGACAAATGAACGGAAAAGATTCTGAAGAATATATAATGCAAATGAAGTCATTTTATTAGGAAACTCAAATTTGGTATTTTCTGCTTTTGGCAGATTTGGGGAGCTCCATGATCATGTGCTTCTTGAACAAGCAGACTTCTTCCTGGGTGCCCACCATTTGAAAAGCACTGTTGGGAAAACAGAGAAGTGTAAGACATAGAAGAAGCATAAAATAGTTTCCTTATTGTCACCCAAACAGATTTAAAAGAATCTCTCCCTTTATTTATAAAGAATATATTTTATAAATATTATTTTCTAATTATAAAAGTAATACGTACAAATTTCAGAAAATTCAGAAAAGGATAAAGAAGCAAACAGAAATTACCAGTAATCCTACCCTAAGTGAGTCAGCACGTTTTCCATTTTGTTGTTACTTTTGATAAGAATACTGATTCTGACAAGTCCTCAGAAAATTAATGTGTATGCATAATGAAAATCTTTACTGTATATGTGAATATACTTAATCCAAAATACCTCACACAGGTTAGGTGAAGGGTAGTTTACTTAAAGGTGGAACTGAAGGATTACTTTTAGAAAAACTGCAAGGCTGATAGTAAGCAGAGTAGCCATAATTCAAAGTGCAATGAAAGCCTTAGTGTTCACTTGGACTGTTTAGGCTTACTGACTAACAATGTTACGGTATGAAATTGCATTCAACATTCCCTTGACCTTGAATCATCCACTGTGGAATGAGGATTGAAAACAGAGCTGGTGCTCCCACACCAGAAAAGTCTTAACACCCATGATTTCAACCACAGAACCTTCCTGCCTACAAGTCTGATCCATATTCCTCTCTTTTTGAACATTATGAAATTCAGAACTAAGTCTCATTACCATTTGAGCAATCTGTCCCTGCTCTAAAATGGCACCACAAATGAATAGAATTAGACTATAATTCTTTTTCTTGCTCCTTCAGGTGAATCAGTTCAGACAGCTGTATTCCAAAGTCATCAATGATAAACACGATGATGTCATGGCCAAGTTTGGCGCTATTCTGGCCCAGGGCATACTGGATGCAGGTAAATATTTTTAAGTCTTCCAGATTTATTTATTTATTAAAACTAAGTCTAATGAAATAACTATCTGCTCTGATTATATGACAGTGGAAATTGAGTCTGAGGCAAACTATTCCTGGAGAAAATTTGGAGCCTGCAATTCATAGTGATAATTTTTAACAGAGTCATTAAGAGTACAGACTGTTAGAGTTTGAATCCTAGTCCCTTTACAGTGCTAGCTATATAACCTTGAGAACGTACTTTCCCTCTCTGTTTTTGCTTTCTTATCTTGTAAAGTCTACCTTGTAGTGGTGGGAGGGTTAAAAATACATGTAAAGCAATTAGAGCAGTGCCTGTCACTTAGTAAAGTGCTCAACGAGTGTTGGCTGATTTTTTTTTTCCTTAATTTTCTTAGTATATATAAGTTTTAAACAAGTTAACAGTGAAAATTTTTGAGGAAAACGTGTTTTAAACAAATTCTAGCAACGAAATCACTCTAAAATAAGATTCATGGAATATTTACCTAATAAATGTATGGCATACTATGCTATCTGGCTCCAGAATTCACCACTATACCATGGTCTGTTTCAAAAGATAGAGTGGTGTTCCTTAGCC